ACTTCTTACTTCTACTTATATATATATATATATATATATATATATATATATATATGAGATATATATATGTGTATAGAATACTAGACAGATTTTACGTAACAAAGAACCATTAAGTTAAACACGCTTCCGTAAACATGAATAACTTTTTAATAGGTCATGTATGTTTTTGAATTCAGTTTGTGTACCGGTTGAATGTGGTCTTTAGATCAAAGTGGTTTTACGACATTCTGGACATGAAGATTATAATTCAAAACTCACATGTTTTTGGAATATCTCTTCATAAACCTCTTTCAATGTTTATTTCTATAAAAAAAAATTTATATTCTTTTCCGCAAAATTATAGGATAATTTTCATTTGTGATTAATGATAAAAATTTATACATGTAAGCGGTAAATATCCCGAAAGTATCCTATGGAAATGTAAGCTCTACGCACATAGATTGCATCATGGAACGGCTGCAGCTTTTCTGGACGAGATTTTTAAACGCCTGCACCGTGCAGAATGTCATAAAAGTAAGAGTGTCGGATTTCCGCGAATCGGGCACGCGCCAGCCGCACAATCCGGTCCAGCACCGGACGCCGTTTCATTCCGTTCGGTTAAACAATACGAGCAGGTGATACCCCGCCCGGTAAGAGAGTACCGCGTATATTGCCGTATTGCCATTTCCAATCGCACATTTACGACTTTTATATTAAATCATTAATACTGGTCGCCACAGCATTGATAGCATTTCCTTGTTAGAGCTGTAGAAATTAAGAAAAAAAGAAATAAAATTTATTAAGTCTAATAACAGCATTATTAATCTATTAACAGCATAATCATTTAATACGAATTTTAATAGACATTAAAATAAATAGACTTGTTTTTATTATGCATGTCGTTTAGCCATATGTTACTTGAATTTATGAAATAATTTAGACTTTTATATAAGAAATTTTCTTGAAAAAATATTGTATATGAAAATCTTCTTTCTTCGTGTGAGTCAATTCATTTGTAGACATTCACACATAATGTTGAACTCTAACTTGTTAGCTATTGATAAATAGTAGATAGTTTCATTTACTCTCTCCCACGGAGTTGATGCACATAACCGGTCACAAAAAGAATCTATTTACAATCTTGTGGAAAACACCGAGGAGGTGTGAACCATGCGTTGGTCTCTGGGACCGATCTCGACTTTTTTTATGCATTCTTAGCTTTGGATAATAAGACTGACGAACGGATGAAATAATTCGGAAACCAGAGAAGGTTCTGACTTGTGCATATGCGAGCCGGACGACGCCGGGAGGTCTCTCGATGCCTCGGCAGGAGCCCGAAGAGACGACAAGCCATGTGTCAGGCTTATCAAAACCTAGACATGATTGCGTATAATAATGATTTTGATTTAATTTCTTTTTATGTTTATTTCTGTCAATGTAGATTAATTTGAATCTCGATTTAATTTACTTCTCTTTTTTTTAATTTTAAGAATTAGAAAAAGAAAGAATAAACTAAATCAAGATTAAAATTAATAAGTAGTTAAAATGGATATTAGACACCTAAAGAAATTTAAAACTTCTGATTCGGTTTATGTGTGTC